TTTTTTTTTTTTTTTTTTTTTGGTACAGGGACCTTCCGGTTTCCGGATCCACAGGGGAATCGACTAATCCGGAATCAAGCCGGGTAGGACCCTCCCTCAAGCGTTTTTAACACTGGTGCATTCTCAGGACTCGAACACGAGACCACTGGTTAAGCTGGAAGAAACTCAAACCATCTCATCCAAGTGTTCTTGGGTTGTAAAACAAATTTAGTTGATCGTAATAAAAAGGTCATCACGTCTAAAGAACAAAAAAATAGCAAGGCAAAGGAAGGAAAATCACAGGACAAAGTACGCAGTCAACTGGTGAGGCACAGAAATAGAGGGAAAGAAAAGAAAAAAAAAGGGGTCGGTGACCGTCATGCTTCCAAGTTCCAACGAAGCTCAACCATATATATATTGGTATCATCCATTATCACTTTTATTCCAACTGCCAAAACCGTCTCATTTCTTCTTCCTCCTCTCTCACCCAAAAATTTAAATAAATAAATAAATTAATAATAAAAATAAAGAAATAAAAGTCCCAAAAAGAAAAAATAAATAAATAAATAAGAATGCCGGCCACTGACAACCAAGGCTCCTTCCTCAACCGCATCAGCATCCGCCGCAACCAATTCTCCTCCGCCGACGCCGCCCACGATCAGGAACTCGAGGACCTCGACCTCTTCCAAAAACACGTCGCTGATCGCTTCTTCGATCTCCTCTCCTCCCCCGAATCCCCTTCCGCCGCCGACGCCCTCCCCTCTCCTCCTCCTCTCCTCTCCATCTCGTGGCTCCGCTGCCTCCTGGACGCCTTCCTCTGCTGCGAGGCCGAATTCAAAGCCGCCCTCATCTCCGGCCGCGACCCTTCCCAATTCTCCCGCCCCCCTCTAGACCGCCTCATCCCGGACCTCCTCGACCGCGCCATCAAAGCCCTCGACCTCTGCAACGCCGTCACCCACGGCCTCCACCTCCTCCGCCACTGGCACTCCCTCGCCGCCACCGCCACCGCCGCCCTCTCCCGTCCCCCCGTCGGCGACGGCCAGGTCCGCCGCGCCCGCAGGGCCCTCGACACCCTCCTCACCTCAATGGCCCTCGACGACCGCGAAAACGCCACCGGAAACTACCACGGACGCTGGACCGAACGCACCAGATCCTTCGGCCGCCGCACCCCCGGCCCGGCCGCCACAAGGGACCGCACCTCCGGAAGCTTCCGTTCCCTGTCGTGGTCGGTTGCTCGGTCGTGGTCCGCGGCCAAGCAGATCCAGACCATGTCCGCCAGCCTGGCGGCTCCGCGCGGAGGGGAGCCCACCGGCCTGGCCCTGCCCGTCTACATCATGAACACGGTCCTCGTTTTCGTGATGTGGGCCCTGGTGGCTGCCGTCCCCTGCCAGGAGAGAAATGGGCTGGCGACCCATTTCCAGTTGCCGAGGAATGTGGGGTGGGCCCAGCCGATTATTGGGCTTCAGGAGAAGATTGGAGAGGAGTGGAAGAAGAAAGAGAAGAAAGGGACGGCAGGGCTTCTGGAGGAGGTGCAGAGGATGGAGAAGGCGGCCCTTTCCCTTGTCGAGTTCTTGGACGGGTTTTCTTTCCCCCTGGAGGAGGAGAAGGCGGCGGGGCTGGCGGCACATGTGGCGGAGATGGATGAGATATGCCGGAAGATGGAGGAGGGGCTTGATCCCCTGCAGCAGCAGGTCAGGGAGGTGTTCCATAGGATAGTGAAGAGTAGGGCCGAGGTTCTTGACGTCGTAGATCAAGTTAGTAAGCTCTCAGCACCAGCTCCATATTGACTTGGGTTGGAGGCTGATTGTGCTTTGATCACTGTAGCAGCAACAGATGTAGAATGAATCTGTGTCTTGTATTAGGGTGATACAAGAGTTATTATGGGTAATGTTTGTTTATCTTATTTTTTTATTTGATCTCCAGTTTCATGTGGTTGTCCAGAAATAATGTTTTTATGATGTACAGTTTTGCCAGTCACTATTAATTTAGTTTCTCCCTGTCCTGTGGGTTTGGTTCAGAAGGTAGTGTTTGCAAAGCCACAAGATTTAGTCTAGCAACAATGTCAGTCATACTTTCCTTGGAATGCCTAATATAGCCTCAAGCTTGATCATCCTTGTTTACATACTTTCTCCTGCAATTTAGTTAATCACGTTTGGTCTCCGTGTTAACTGGTAGTCCGCTGTGATACGATTGAATGTCAGAAATTATAATCACTAAATTATAATGTCAGAATACGACTGAATCACCGAAAGAACGATGTGCCAGCGAGCGAACAAAAGGGCTTGTCTTCGTGCCCTTATTGTTACAATAGGTTTATTTCACTTGTTTCATGTTTTGGTTTGTTAAAGATCAATTGTAGTTTATTTCATCTTCATTTTGGTTTCAATTTAAACGTTGTGCCAATGCAATGTTCGCTGTAATATAGCCTTAAGTTCTCTAGTGTATTTAGTGATTAAAATTTCTCATTTGTTTGCTGTTTTTAAGAGACTGGGAGGATTAGAAGCATATTGAATTAGAGGAAGATGATGATAAAATTCCTTTCAAATTCTTTTTCAGTTAGGGGCGTATTAATAAATGATTATTTAGTACTAATTAAATTATATTGTATTTTCTTGGGTCAAAGGTCATAGACAATTTTCTATGCTATCTTATACTACCTCCTAGTTTTTCTTTAACAGCATTTTATCAACAACTAATCAAATAAATGACGTTTTGGATATTTTGTACATATTTTTTTTATTATTATTATTTAGCTAATAAATACACGTCTTTTCATATTCACTCTTAATTTTTTTTTTTAAGTATTCATATTTATCTTCATTAAGGTGGATTATTATTGAAAAAATTATTTAATTAATGTACAATTTCTAAAAAAAATTAAAAATAAGAGAGAGGAACATGGTGCATACCATAACTGCCCTTGTTTTGAAAACGTCGTCGTAAAAGCTGTAGCATTTCTCTTCCTCTTTTTTCATATATTATGACGTACGAGTCGTCGAACAGATAACATAACATATGGTTTTGGCTATTGAGGGGAGCATCCTTTTTGTACACTGCACCTCCAGCTTAATTTTTAGCTGATATAGCCGTTACTGTCAAACAGCGGCGGGCCCGGCGGAGGCGGCGGAGGAGACGCCGGCAATGTTCCTTGCGTTTTCTCTTCGTAATTGCGAATACCCAAAATGATAGAGTTTGCTCTGCACTACAATCTTCCACTCCCTCTATCCACGAAGCTCAAAACCCACCACCCGTACCAAGACCATGCTCGTTTTCAGTTACTCACTAGTAGGAGAACTCGGTATCCCGTGAATTACAGCAACGCCACCGGCGGCCATGTCAGGACACGAATTGCCCCACTTGAGGCAGAAGTACACGAATTCGAAGAAAATTCATTCTTTATGGGAACTGACGATGACGAAGAGTTCGAGGAGGATGAAGCCACGTCTTCATCTTCAGAGTTTCTATCTCTGAGCGCGAAGCCTGACAGGAACTTGGCGTTGATGGACGAAATAGATTTGTTGCCCGAATGCGACCCGAACCACCGGAGCGGGTTCGTGGCGGTTGTGGGCAAACCCAATGTGGGGAAGAGCACGCTGTCCAATCAAATGCTTGGTCAGAAATTATCGATTGTCACGGATAAGGCCCAGACGACACGACACCGTATTCTTGCTATCTGCTCCGATACGGATTATCAGGTTTGTCCACTTTTGCCCCCTTTTGTTGTTACTAGTTTTCTTGTTATGAATTTGGCAGATATTGTGTAGCTGAGTAATTGATCGATGGTTGATAGGTGGTTTGCTTGTGGTGTTTGTCTTCTTAGTGCTGGTTGTATTGTCTGACTGACTGTTGTTGGCTATGTGTAATCGGAAATTTTGTGAACTAGTGGTATAAAGTGTTTTGATTATGTGCAAAATCAAACCGTAAAAACAATTAGATGTATTAAGTACCACTTATTCGAAATCACAAGAAGTTGTCTCCATTGGTTGTGTTTTGGGTATTTGTTGTAGATAATACTCTATGATACACCGGGTGTTATTGAGAAGAAAATGCACAAGTTGGACTCGATGATGATGAAGAATGTCCGAAGTGCCGCCATCAATGCAGACTGTGTTATTGTTGTTGTAGATGCTACTAAGGCACCTGAAAAGGTATTTTATCTTTTTTTTTTTTAAGTCGTCTTTGTCGTCTATGATTAACGGTACTTAATCTCAACGCAGATTGATGAAATGCTGGGAGAAGAAGTTGGGGAACTCAAAGATATCCCCACCTTACTTGTTTTGAACAAGAAAGACCTTATCAAACCCGGTGAAATTGCAAAGAAGATTCAGGTGCAAAAAAATCTGATTCTTCTTCTTATGTCGGGTACCTATGATATCTTTACAAGAATGATTTGTTGATCGACTGTTATTATGGCTCTGATATTTAACCTGTGTAGTCAATATTCTTATTCTTATGGAATAATGGTGCAGACTAATATTTATTCTGGGACATTTTTTAATTGCACTGCCTCAAACTATGACATTGCTGTGAGTTTATTGTGCACTTTTTTTTTTTAAAAAAAAAAAAAAAATCTAAATTGGATAGCGAACATTTAGTGATGCTTTTTGTTGTCCACGTTTGGTGTTTTAATTTCCAACTATGGTCTGATAATTTTCCGAAAGTGGAAGTTTAATTTTTCTTCTTGTTCTTGTTTTGTTATTTTGTTTTTGCAGTGGTACGAGAAATTTACTGATGTTGATGAGGTAATACCCGTGAGTGCCAAATATGGCCATGGGGTGGAAGACATAAAAGAGTGGATTCTGTCAAAGCTTCCGTTAGGACCAGCTTATTATCCTAAGGTGTATATAATGACTCGATCATGGTTACATATGAGAAACCACCATCTTCGAAAATTTGAAAGAAATATGGTTTCGAAAATTTTGTCTTACCTTCGTAATTAATGCTTACATCTAAATTGAAATGATTATATATTTACCTTCAGGATATTGCTAGCGAGCACCCTGAAAGATTTTTTGTGGCCGAAATTGTCCGAGAAAAGATCTTTATGCAATACCGGAATGAAGTCCCTTATGCGTGCCAGGTAAATCTGTAATGAATGTGAAATAATACCCAAAAAAATACAAAAGGGAAACATAACTGCAAATTCTTCAAACTTTATCTTAATTTTTCTCTTACACAGGTTAATGTGGTTAGTTATAAAAGTAGACCAAACGCAAAAGATTTCATCGAGGTTGAGATTCTTGTGGAGAAGACCTCTCAGAAGGCTATAATTATTGGAAAGGTAATATCTGTTTTCAACTTTTCATTCTTAAAAAGATGGAAAACATTTCCATATCTGTATAGTTTTTACTCTGGTGAATTTGTTGAGATGGAGGTTACTAGATACCTAGTTGATGGCCTTTGATCTCTTACTCAGCAGGTTTCATTAATATGTATATGAGAGACGAGGACAAATGATTGAGTAGTACATTTGTATTCATCAATTAATTCTAGTTCCTGGCCTGTTCGTGCTTACAAGCTGAGTTGTTCGTTAGGTTGCAAGATGGAAACCGTTTTCAAGTTTGTTTAACTTCAATTTCTGTTTAGTTGTTCGTTAGGTTGCAAGATGGAAACCGCTTTCAAGTTTATTTAACTTTAATTTCTGTTTAGCTCATTGCTATTCCTTCCGTTGCCAAAAAAAAAAAAAA